ACAAATCGCGCCAGCTACGAAAGCTACGTGGAAGACAACACAGAACTAGCATTCGAAACCTATTGGCTAACTGCAGGTATGATATCAAAGTTAGTGTTATGAAGATGGTATTACTTATACCGTAAAAAATTAATATTCATGTAATAACCTAGATTAATGTTCAGTTGCTTAACAAATAATGCGGATCTTAAAGTGTTGCTCAGATAGCCTTTTCTTCGTAAATGCTAAGTCTTATTTCCGGATCGATGTAACAGACTAGCTGGCGAGCTTTAAATGCCCGGTTAAACCAAACTGCTTTGATCTTAGGACGCTGAAACTCTACCAAATTAGAAAAGTAATCACTGAACGAATTCTAACTCTACAACATCATCATCGTCTGTTAGATTAAGTCTTATTAATCAGATATTGTAGACGTACCTTCGAGTGCTTGCTCCATGTTCGATGAAGAGAAGTCCAATGTGCTTCCTGTTAAAAACTTAATGCGTGGACAGTAATCATTCCCCAGGGATACCATCCAAGAGCAAAATCAAGATCTATAAGTCTTAACGGAAAATAATACGTCCATGGGAGAATCATTCGAATAGTACCAAGTATATTTTGCGTAAAGATATTTTGTTCCTATGAAACTGAAAGATCACAAATTGCTCTCTAGGGGTTTTTACCGTATATTTTTACTCTTTCTTGGAAAGATTACGTCATAACTAAAATATAGTAAACTCTTTTATTTTGCATAATTATTCACCTCGTGATGCAGACGTTCGTAATTATATTTAAACTTTCTAATCTCTTCTGTTCATTTTTATCATGTTTAATTCAAGCGAAGATTACAATTTTTAGAAATTAGCTGCCTTAGGCGTAATATCTTTACTTGGATGGACGGCTCAATGTGCGTTCTGCTTTTTCCTAGAAGTTGCCAAATTATATACATAAGAGAGCCCCCTACTGTAAAACAATCCCATGATCACATCATCTTACTGCCGTTTCAGTTTCTCAGAAACTGAAAGGTCACAGAGTGGTTTTTTGATCGAGTAATTTTGCATATTACAATTTAATAGCTTTGATCAGAGAAAACTAACTAGAGCTGTTTGAACCACTACTTTAGTTCTGCTGTTACCGGCATTTCTTAGCAAATAAAATAAGTATAGTTATAAAGTAGTTTAATTTATTAACAGAAAACCTGACAGGCCTAACAATTATATACCTCGTGACTTCCGGTTTTCCTGGAAGTCGCAACGAATATATTATATTACCCTTTTCACTTGTACAGGTACCTATTTGTGAGACTCGCGTACGAAATATTTTTGGTGTACGTTTAGTGTTTACCTATGTAAATACTGCTGAGAGATGGCGAGTAACAGAGGGACATTAGAAGAGACCGCAATCAGAGACGAATCTCAAGCAAATTTTGTCAGGTCTTTAGTGGAACTTCTGAAACAGCATCGAGCGGTATTAGATGCCCTACCAGAAATGTGTGAAAGGTTAATAGATTTGGAATCAAACGAGACCAGTAAAACACAAAATTGCGATTTGAGCAGGTATGCAATTGTGTGTTCATGTTTGCAAACTGCATTTTGATGTAAATGTTTAGAAATACCAGTGCTCACTAAACTTCCAACCGACACAGTTAAAACAGTCTGCTTTTAAAAGAATATAACAATATTTTTTATAAGTCCTAAGCAGTTTCCTTAAATTTGCACAGTCCTGCTGAGTAACGAATCATTTCATGCAAAGTGAATATTGTATACGTGAAGTCCATCATGGTCTGGATCAGGAGGGTGGTCCTGAAGTCAGGAGTTTTCTTGGTGACTGCGTGACACGTTACTTACGTGAACGGAAGTCACGATCTTAAAAAAACAGTTCGTTATTTGTTGTTGTGGCGGCGCGGTGGCCTCATGGTTAGTGCACTCGACTCCGGATCGAGAGGTCCGAATTCAAGCCCTGGCCAGGGACATTGTGTTGTGTTCTTGAGCAAGACACTTTACTCTCACACTGCCTCTCTCCCCCCAGGTGTACAGATGGCTAACGGTTAACTTAATTAATGCTGGGGGTAACCCTACGATGAACTAGTGATCCCATCCAGGGAGGAGAAGAAATATTCCTAGTCGTTTCATGCTACAAAACCGGGATAAACTCCGGCCTGATGGGACCCTTGGCTCGTATGAAGGCTTTACCTTCTTTTATTTGTTGTTACGTCTCTGGGTACTGAACCTGATTGAGTTTTGTCGGTATCTAAATTGTTTTGAACTGTTGGTAGCAGTAACTGTCTGTTAAAATTGCTATATTGGTATTTTTTAAGTCTGCTCAAGGTATGCTCCTTCTTTCGCTTACCAACAGAGAAAATGAACAAAACATTTTGGAAAAAAGAAAGAGCGCGCATTTACGTAGGCATTATAAATCATTGCAGAACGAGATGGCAGAAAAAGATGAATGGTAAATAAAGGACATGGTTAAATTAAGACGGACTCCGCTCAAAGTTCGAGCAATAAATGCAAAAATTATTTGCTAAAAATCTGCTCATAGCATGGTAACTTTTGGAATACTATTTAAAACAACTCATTTTAGTTAATTGCTCTAAGTGACCCCGCGATTAAGCATTCTCGAGAAAGTTAAAGTTAAACCTCGTAAGAATGCTTATAGCGTGTGTTACTGTGTTTTTAACTAACGCGAAACGTCTGTTTTAATTGAAATATGGATAACTTCAAGTTTAATTTTCTCTCGCGGGGCTAGCTTGAGAGCTTTAGGCTCGATAAGTTCTCCTTTACTGTGCTCAAAATATTACCATGCTGTGAGGTTTTTTTTGGTAACTTAATTTTTGCCATTATTGTTCGAATGTTCTGCGGAAATCATCTTAAACATCTTTTTTTTTCTTTCAACCAAGTCCGACGCTACTGTGTTCTTGTGACAAAGAAAAAAAACCTTTACAATTAATCCCGTAACAAGAATTCCCCTGACATGTTTAGAAAATTCAACATGTTAGAGCAAATGGAAACTATGCTTTACAAAGCTTGATTATACACATGAAAAAATGGTTGCTGGCTAATTAACTCTGACTTATTAACCGAGCTTAGTCAGTATGGGAAAAAACTTGACCGAGGTTGACAACCCATGTGACAACCCATGTCCGGTTGGCAATATGGCGAACACATCCTTGTGATTTATGACCGCGTGTAACGCTTTCTTCTGATATTCGGTGAGACTTTCAATCTCTGGAAAACGCTCCTCGAGTACCGAGGTCAAAACTTCTTCGACGACACTTCCAGAAACATAATCCATGTCGAACACAGGCGAATCTTGAACGAGTATAAACTGAGAAGAGAATGGCTTACTGAGAACGAACTGATAGCTTATGAAGTATCTTGCAAACAATTTCCTTCCCTGGTAGAGATCTTCCCTCAAGAAGTGCAGTGACAAATATCCCCACCGTCCCCTCGGTATTACCAATCGAAGGAACCAATCATATGGATTTGCGTGTTTGTAAAAACATCAGCCAATCCAAGCCCGAGGGTCAGATCCTGACCCTGGCGTCTGCATGAAAGTGAGATTCAAGTCCAAGGTAACCAGAGGTTTTTCTTTCTCACCGCTTCGCGATTCGTGTTCGCCGCTTTGCGGCTCTGTCGCGGCTGTCTCCTCTCATGTGGAGAAAAATCAAGAAAAACCTCTGGGACCAGGGTATATTTCATTTATTTTTACATGGTAGCTGTAAAAATGTATGGCACTTATATGAAAAATACATGTAATAAATGCAATTTAAGTATTCCACGAAAATTAAGCGATTACGTCTAGCCGACGGTTTTCTTGTTAGTACAACAACAAACAAACAAAACAATTAATGTTTTTTTTCTTTTGTAGGATTATGCAGCTGGAAAGAGAATTGAAAGCAAAAACAGTGGAGGTGGAGAAGTTAGTAAATAAATAAATGAATAAATAAATGAATAAATAAATAAATGAATAAATAAATAAATGAATAAATAAATATATTTAGAATGGAAGCCACATCAACCTTCGATGGTTTTCATGCGGGTCCTTTATCCCGGTCGAATTGGAATTTGGAGATGTTGGTTTTTGTAAGGGAGGAAAACCAGAGAACCCGGAGAAAAAGCCTCGGAGCAAGGCGAGAACCAACAACAAACTCAACCCACATAAGGCACCGGGTCGGAATCGAACCCGAGCCACATGGGTGGGAGGCGAGCACTCTCACCACTGCGCCATCCCTGCTCCCCAGTAAAAGTGTCTGTGTTACCAGAATGGAAAATAAGGAGTGTAAATATCAGTCATTGTTATATGGCGTGTCTCACATGGACTGGGAACTATAAAATCCACGAATATAATTGGCTAAAATCTCTTGACCGCGGTCTCGGTTTTGTATCTGGACAGGCATCTAGAGTGGTCTAGCAAATATATTTGCGGTGAGAAAGTTATACAAACAGAAAATTGAAAAGGATCAATAACGCGACGACATTTTGGCGAATTTATCTGCAACCTTGGCAAACAAAACATCAGCTGAGGACAAATTAGAATTGAGAAGTTTTTGGAAACTCAGAGTTCATTCACACTCATTGTAAAGTTAGGACTTTTTTTTCCAGGCCAGAGAAATTGAAAACATCGATATCCCTTGCCACTGAGGTCTACCTTCGTATGACCAAATTTTTCATCTCCATCATTAAGGCAGCGAGAAAGAACCGGCTACGTAAAGCGGCTTTTAGCGAATTCGAGTTTTCCTTACAAGCTATACATATGCTATTGAACTAACGTACGGTCCGTACTGGAGAAATATTTACTGGTCGAGTTCTTTTCTACAGGCATTGCAAAGAAAAAGGAACGAAGCTTACTATTCCTCAATACGGACCGAACAACCTTTTTCAGTAAAGTATTTATTATAATGAGTTTTAAATCCGCTGATAAATTGATGCGTCTTCGTGATTCATTCTCCTTCACGTGGCGGACTAGATCAGCCATATAATAAAAGATATACATTTATTTTTTTCTTAAGCATCTGAGCGGGCCGGAATCCTAAATCCTCGAGTTTCATTGGTTGATCATTCGCACGTGACCGGTCCAGCTTTTTACGATACGGCAAATTTCCTCGCTTTCTGCTATTCAATTTACGGTAGAAAAGTCTGATTTCAAGTGATTTTAAAAGCAACGACTGACAGAAATTGTTTTAGTAGCAAAACTTCAAACTTCGCACGAAATTTCACACTGCAAAAACAAAAACTTAACTGGTGAAATACTATGCAACTAACATAAAGTAGTTCGAAAAAATCTGTTCTTTAATACATCTTTCTTTGTCTACTATTTGAGTTACTCGCTCGTTGCGAAGAGCTTTTAGCAAATCGTTAGTAGACGGCGCGGAAGCCGATTCAATGACAAAGCTGCGTCAGACAAATCCATTTGTAATCTGTAAAACCAATTTACCGCAGGAAAAACAAACAAACAAAAAAAACACATGTTATTTGCCGGCTTAGGGTGGGTCCGTATGGTGAAAAACTGTGACCTCGGGCTTGAAAATGCTGCCCGAGGCTGCGGCAAATAACATATATGTATTGACCGAGCTCGGTCCGTCTTCATCGGAGAACCTTGCCTTTGGTCACTGAATATTCTCCCATAAAGATCTACCAAGCTCGACTAATAAGAAGCAATCCAGTACAAAATGATTTTGCATTTTTTTTGTTTTATTTTGAAGTGAAAGTAGTTTTAATAGAAATTAAAAGGCATGCCATCGTGTCTGTAAGCTGATGAAATATACGCAGCTGAGGACTCTATCGGGCTGCCTCTTGAATTAACTGGTTTTATGTTCAATTTGTTGTTGTCAGTTTCTTTTACGAAAATGGGCAATATAAAACATTATTCATTCAACAGATTGTCTCAAGAAAAAGAAGAAGAAATTACACGTAGGAGAAACTATTACAAAATCCATGAACAGTCAAGGTCCAGGTACAAGGAAATAAAAACTCTGCATATACATGCTTTTTCTCAATTCTTAATGAAGTAAAGAAATTGACACATTGATAGTGCGTGGAGCAGCTATACATCAATACATCATTTTTGTTGAGTAGCATGCTAAGGTTAAGTTACAGTCTTCCACTGTATGAAAGCGACAGAACTTATTATTAGCTTGTCAAAACATTTAGTAGTAATATTTACTGTAAATTACACTAGATACAGATTGCTATTTAATCATACCAATACCGAATTTCTCTTAGCAAAGATGAGTATATCAAAGAACTTGACGCAAAGGAGGAGAAAATTAAGGAACAAGCAGAAAGGTAAGAAATGTTTTTTTGTTTTTGTTGTTGTTTTTCAAAGTTCAGAAGAACTTAATTCTGGATGTGATCATTCCACTTTGTCAATTTGTCGCGTATGACCATGTTTGTTGTTACTCGACACAATACCGTTCCACTTTTGAGAAAAAAAATTATCCTAAATGTGCATTTTTCTATATAGCTTCAACATTTTCTGAGATATTTGGGACTATAAGAATTCTTCCACTCTCCTAATACAAATGCCGCAATCTGATTGACTCATCTATCGTATACCATCACCCACTGCCTTGGAGGTCGTCTACAAAATGGTGACGTTTACCCGTTTACTTACAGCTACATGAATATACAGTGTGCCAGTATAGCTGGTTTTCACATGACGTCACTAAAATTCAAACTACAAAACAACTGATCTTCCTGAGATTTTACTTTAATGATCTATAAGAGCAGCTGAAAACTAATATTCATACAAATCTTCGCTCCGAATGGGTTCTTGGTTTTGTGATACACTACGCTTGAATTTCTAAGC